TGTGGTTGAATGTATGAGATTCTTCTTAACCGTTCTGTTGGAGCCAAGTAGGATATGCATCGGGACGTGAAAGGTGCTATACAAATATAATTTGTGGTTGTTATTTTGTGTGTGAATGTAACATAATATCCAATGTGAAACAAGGAAATTGAGATCTAAGGGCACAGCCTCATAACCAGGTCAGTGCTATGATGGAGAGTCTTTATTGAAAGGAAGCGATTACATAACAAAGTGCTCAGCTCAGTGAACTCATTCTGTTCACACTCACAAAGCCTGAAGTTCCACCTAGTCTTAGCCTGGAAGCCTACTTTGTCATTAAAATTCACGACCATGCAGAATTGTGGAAAACGTCTTTGTTCATTCACCTCCTCATTTGGAGGCTGCTCCCTTCATAGTTCTTCAAAGCGAAATAGCTTCCAAACTGTTCTCCCTGCAATTCTTGCAACGTTAACACAAAACTTTAAGGACTTACAGGCTGAGGTCAGGTGGAATCTCAGGCCTCTGTTGCTTTTATAATGAAGAATGTCACTACAATTAGAGATCTCTCACATGTTAAGCAACTTTTGTCCTGTTGTTTCACACCCTCTAGCCCCACCAGTGTATTGAGGGATCGCACACATTACCAAGCACTATGTGATGGGGCAGAAGCCCACCATACACCATACTTCACAGATTCCCGAATGTCACAGGACCACAAACTCACCTGTACTGTGCCTTCCCCCAGAGCCAGATCAGGTACAGGACAAGTTACAAGTGACAATCTCATTTACTCACACCAAAATGTACTTCGAGGTCAAGTACCAAATCGGAATAAACCACGGGGAGGCACAGAGAGAAAAGAAAATTGGCGGAACAAATATCGAGAAGCTGTTCAACCGGGAAGCTCAGCTCACAAGATAAAGAGTGATTCAGAGAGCTAAATTCTATTGCATATATTCAGAAAACAAAAGCAGAGACAAATGTAGATACTAACTACTGACCACCCACCAGAGTTGGGGGAAGGGTTCTCTCAGATGTTGCTCTTGGGTTTTATATGAACCAATATTTAACTGTGTGTCAAGTGGAAACATTTGGCTGATTTCTTGCTGCTTGACTGGCTGAGCAGTGCAGAAGAAGATACTGGTGGGAAAGGTCTACCTTGAGTTAAGGCAGTGGTCTATCTTCTCCTCCTCCCCTAATCATAGTGTATTCACCAATGAGACATAATTGCCATTAGCCATCATGACACTATCTGATATCATAAGGGTTTCATCAGATTATTAATAACCAACGTTACTTCAATTTCTCAATTAAGATTCCAGGACAACAATGATAATTGTACAAACTTGTTCTTCTAATGTATTGATTCGAATTGGAGATTCATTTCTAGCATTGGACAAAAGAAGTGCTAGAAAGCACAGAAGTTTTTACTGGATAATTTATTGATTCTTGGGCAATGAAGAATGGATTGAATAGGTTTTAGAGTTTCACAATGAAGCTTCATGTAGATACTAAAATGAATTTATTGCTCAAAATTAAAATCTAGTCTATGGAGGGTTAGCTGCAGCCAATCAATCTCAGCCAACATTAGCCACTTGTTACAGACCTTTGTATTTGGTAAAGTGACAACTAACTGGAGAACCCTGGAAACATGCATCTAATATAATTTACAGCTGTTAAATTCACTACACATCTCACTTCTAATCTTTTATTATTCTTGAACGACAGCAAAACAAATTCAAGGTGCTACAGAGACCATTCATGATATCCGCCAATCTGTGCAGGAGAGGCAACGTGCAACATTGAAGGTTAAACTACTGGTGCCATTGGACAATAGGCAACAATGAGCGGAGAGCAGTCACACGCTGTACACTTAAGATATGCCCGACAGCTCGGTGTGGTTTATTAATGGAAATAGCAGGTATTTTTGACAAGACTGCATGTGCCCTAGGAAAATAGTGTTGGCCATTCACCTCGTCAAACCTGTTCTGTCATTTTGTTAGATCACGGCAGATCTCTTGAATCCCATTTCTCTGCTCTATTGCCCCCCCATCCCATAACGCATTCACTTTCCAATTATCTTTCTATCTTATCTGTCTTTTAAGACATCCCAATCGATTCTGCATCTATTGCTTTCCGGGGCTTTGCATTCGACAATCTTGCATCCTTTTGGGTGAAGGAAAAATAATTATTTTGCGTGAAGAAACATTTCCTGATCCATGTACAAATGGGATTTCTCTCAGTTTTATTACGTGCCTTTCCCTTAATATACTAGATTCATCAATTCATGGACTCTTCAGAGGAGACTGAAGAGGAGGGACTATGTCAGGAGTGAGTAATGATTCATGTAACAACTTGGCCTGACGGGAGGTTGAGTATAACTTATCAGTGTTAAGATTGGGTCTGTGGCTCAATGCCATTAGAACGTATCCACTTCAGGTCTCAAAAAACACTGATGGAACAATAGAAACATACAACACAGTAAGAGGCCATTCAGTCCAGTTTCCCCAAACCCTCTAGTACCTTTCCGCTGCATGTGAATGTCCAATTGATTTTTTAAAAATTCGTCCCAATCTACTCATTTAATAATATAATAATAATCTTTGCATTTGATATAGAGCCTTATCACGTCATTGAGACACCCCAAAGCACTTCACACAATATATTGTAAAGTAAATTGACGGTGTAGTTTGTGGGTGAAATGCGGCAGCCAATTAAACACATCAGTGTCCCACAAACAGTCGTGGATTTACTGATCACACTTTTTTTAATTTGGAAGGGATTATTACCCCTCGAACGCGATCCACCAATTGAATAGCAACCGGGCTCCTACTTACTACCAGATAAACTGGGTGTGGACTAAGGAAACATGCCTAAGATTTAATTTGAATGGACACCTCATGGCTTGCAGTCATTTTGAGTTTGATGCCATGCAAATTTGGCTATTATAGACAGTAGAAATACTGCTCCCATTAAGTTTGACCTCTCCATAGAGAAGGGGCCAAATGCAAAAGCAGGAAAATTGCTACTAGCAACTGAGTGCTACAATAGAAATCTGAGTTAAATACTATCTTGGTCCTGGGGCCAATGGATGTTACTGGAAGTAAGATCTGCTCATGTAGGTTTGGCTCCAACTACCTTAAAGTGCTTGATGTTTCTCCTTTTCCTTCCCTCAATATAATTTATAATTTTTACTTCATCTCCTTTCAATTCACAAATAACAATGATGGAAAGTGCTTTTTCTTTCTTCTGTGGGGGACTTGGAGCTATATTCTACTAGTGCATACAGATTCTGAACAGAGCCTAATCTCTCGAATGGTGCATTTCTCTCTTCGAAGCTCGCCTAACTGCCAGCAACAAGCCACACTGACTCTCAATGGATTGTCTTGCCGCAGTCCCCGAAGCAAAATCATATTGGCTTGAATTGTAAATCAGAAAGAACTTTTCCATCAGTGCAGGTTCCTTGGCCGGAATCTAACAAAATTCTGTACAATCTCTTCCCGCCTGCCCAACCCCAATCCCACCTGCAAAACAAAACTAAAGAATAACTTTTAGTGTATATGCAGCAAATAGTGATATTGCTAACCTCACACTTTAAAACTCCTTTAGGCCAGTCTCAAGACATTCCTCTTCAACCCCGCTTTCGGTCACCCTCCTACCTCTACCCTCCCTGCCCTCCACTCCTCCTGATCCCAATCTCCAGCTCGGGTCCAAATCCCTGACTGTCCAGCGCCTCGGGACATCCTCCCGACATGAAAGGCACTTTACAAATGTAATTTGTTGTTGTTCATATTATCCCTGGTGAAATATGGAAATGTTTTGATGGTTCACAGAAGCGTGAGGGTGGCTGTACAATAAATTGGGATTAAACCTTGGGATTAAACACACTTCGATTCTCAGTTCCACCTGGCTTTCAAGAGGTTTCAGTTCCGGACGGTCTAGAAATTGTAACGTGAACAAAGTTGAAGGCTGAAGCCCAGTGACCTGATGTTACAGTAAGCGCTCCACCGAAGGCGGCATCTACAATTAAATGTCATTTAGCTGAGGTGGATGTTGATGGGGATAAAATACCCCCGAGATGTAAAGGCTACTCTAACATCCACTTCAATTCTGTGCATGTAGATAGCGCAATCGTTTATAAAAAAATACCAGCACTTTTCGACTTATCATTCCCTTGCATGACATCGCAGAAGTCAGGATGGTTGGTCGGATTCACTCGTCTGTGGGTTTCTGCACTGTATCGGCACTGTGTAGCAACGGAGCATCATGTAGCAAAGCAAAGTGATGTGGAATCTCACCATCAGTGCCCTTCTGTCCACAGGCTCTGTGCCAAACTACTGCAGGAGTCCAGTCAGAAAGCAGTGCCTTACTCAAAAATCAAGGAGTACAATAGACGGGCTCCATCCTTGTGTTTTTTTTCAGTAACGCACTCTGAGGGAAGGAGACTGGCGTTCAGCACTCTAAAACAGATTCCCAACGTTGCTGCAAAGTGCCTTTTGGGGGATGGAGGAGCGAGGGAGCAAAACATTTGTGAATATTTTCTACGTTTGCCATTCTCTATCATGCCAAGAATACCTGCAATATAGCTGAATAGTTTTTTGTTCCTCTCCTGTTGGGGAACAATCGATGTATGGAGCGGAGTAGCACAGAAAGCTGATTAAACACAGAGACATTTGAAGCTGTTCTTTGAGCTATAGGCATGCTTCCTAGAGCCCAGAGAGAGCAGGCGAGGCTGGATGGGTCGTTAAAGTTGCAAGCGGTTTTCAAAAGAGGGGTGGGATGGGAGGGATAAGGGTGGTGTTGGGGGTTGGGGGGGGGGGGGAGGAGTTCCCTACCAGAAGACATAGAGCAATTCTACTGTTAAAGGAAATAACGTAAGAGAGGGGTTAACCCAACGATGAGTATTGAATGGCAATATGAATGGTCGGCACAGGGTCAGGAGGGCACCACAGAGGAAGTGACACGAGTGGGAAGTAGATGATCAGTGCAGTTCAGACTGCATTCTGTCAGTACAGTTTCTGCTCTTGTCGTACAGAGGAAAGGACAGACACTATAGAAGCTCCTGTAGCACGTAAGCGGTAAAGCGGTGGCAGAGTTTTACTGAGCAGGAATCTGGAGCTCATCTTGGCGGCCTGGCTTGTGTGAGTGTGGGTGTGTATAAGGGGAAGGGCAGGGCGGGGCAGGGCAGGGGGGAGAGGGGAGGTGAGGGTCTTATCCAGACGTCTTGATGTAAAGCTGATTCTGCAGGATGTAGTCAATAACTGGCTGGTTCAAATAATCCACCACGTGTCCATCTCCGTGCTGCAGAGCCAGTCTGTGGGAATAAATAATGAAGAAATAATCCTTGCTTTTGGTACAGCGCCTTTCATGTCCAGAGGATGTCCCAAGTTTCCTCTCAATCATCTCAACTCCAGAGAGAAAAGTTGCAACTTGTTCCATCTTTCCAGAAGGCTGTATTCATTTATCCCAGGTAACATTTTTATAAATCTTCACTGTACTCTCTCTAAGGTTATAATAAGGCTCATCAAGTGCCCTCTGTTATTATCTATAAATGACACATTGTCATCACTCATTATTCAGATCAAAGGAACAAATCTACAGTAAAACGTTTCCATAAGTCTGATCTGTATAAATCGTATAATAAGTTGTACATCTGCCCAAGTCCAGTTCAAGTATTTATATTCTATTCATGTTTGACATAGCTCATGCTTTGCATAAGTCATATTAAGTGTAAGGTCCCAACTGATACGACTTTTGTGCGCTCACCTGCTTTTGGTAGAACTCACAACAGACATGGGGTGGTTGGTATCATCCTTTATCACAATAGTGTTGTCCTGTTTCAAAGAGAAAAAGAAAGTCTTTGAAATATTTTACACGAGAAAACGGAGCTGTGTTTCACCAAACCTGTTTCACCAAACCACATTTGGACTGGGCTGTGAGCAAGTTCCAAATATGCTTAAAACGTGTCGTAGGCTGACAAAATATATTCTGATGTTTCACAGCAAGAGCTTTCTGTCTTACGAATAGAACTACACAGAGTGATATGGCACAGGAACAGGGCATTCTGCCCAACTAATCCGTGCCAGTGTTTGCACTCCACACAAACCCCCCTTCACCTATCCCTCTCTATTCCCTTCTCCTAGTGTTGGCATCAACTCTTCTGTTGAATACATTGATGCTATTTGCTTCAACCACAGCTTCCAGCAATGAGCTCCACATTCTCACCACCCTCTGCATGAACAAATCCATCCTAAGCTCCATGTTAGATTTACCTTTGCCTAACTTATATTTATGCTGTATAGTTGTGGACTGAACAATAAATGGATACAGCCCCTCATGTCCACCTTATCAAATCCTTTCATAATAATCTCTATCACCTCCCCTTTTCAATTGTATCAACTCCAGAAAGAAATGCTGCATCCTGATGGCTGTATCCCCACACATCCCAGGTAACATCCTTGTAAACCTTCGCTGTGATCTATCATTCCTGTGATGTGGCGACTAGAATGATACACAGTACATGGCAGCAAAGTTACTCTGATCTAATCTCCCTGGACCCAGGAGCTGAGCACTCACCTTGTACTTGCGGAGGACCGAGGAGTGGTTCATGATGCGGTCTGTGTCCACCCTTTCACGTGGGACCACCACGATTCCAAAGTCGCCCACTATCACCTCCATCTGGGAGAGAGCATGAAAAAGTACAGTGACAATGATTCCTTCTCGTCGCTTCACACTTCCTTTGCGCTGGGTGAAAACTGGGACCTAACTTGTGGTATTTCTCAATTGGATTCCTTCCTCCGTCCATCCGCTTTGGAATGGAATCAGGCGGAGCAGAGGTTTCTGCGTGACGTGAATCCAGTCACCGGATAAAGTCTGCAGTCATGCGACTTATATACATCGGTATATAATTTGGGACATGACATGTGCACGACTGCCAGGATGGTGGAAAGCAAACTGGATGGACCTTGGTCTTCTCTCGTCTAGCAATTCTTATGCTTTAGGACTTTGGGACGGCTTATGACTGGACAATGTAGAGTCTAGAGTTTCAGCCAAGACTATAATGAGCTCAAAGTCCCCACATCCTCAGAAGAGAGAGAGCTACCAACTGAGCCAGGCTGACACATAACTGGAAGGCAATGTTATGGAAGCAATACCTGACCATTATCAGTGGTAAAATGTTCCCAATCATTGAAATGGTTGGTTCTGGTCTATCAACTTGGCAGGTAACATCATATCAATGAGTGGTCCACGTAACCTCAATTTAGCCTGGAAAACAAACACAGGGACAGAAAATACTCACATCTTCCTCGTTCCACAGGCCTGGGATACAGAACGATTCCAGTAGGTCACTGCCACACAGCAACAAGATACGTAGCTCTGAGGAGATTGGGACACAGACCAGGATAAGGCTTGACACTGGAGAAGATCATTTATATATACACACACACATTACACCGTCTTTTACACACACACACACAAACTCGCTCCACCATTTCACACACACATACCACACTGCACATTTACACACACACACATGCACAATGTACCATTACAACCACGCACAACGCACATTATGCACATACACAACACACCTCGTTACATCCTCACACAGCACCATTATACACATACATACCACACCATTCCATACATGCACATGGCACCATTACACACATGTGCCCCGGACCTTTACACACATGTACACAATACTGCCGAATAGGAGGATAAAGAGGGAATAGAAGCTAAGATAACTGGGAAACAATATCAACTTTTCTTAGGAATAAGAGCAATAATATTTTTGGGGGAGTCAGACGCAGTGGCACTCACCAATCTCCTCGTACCTTACGGCAGTGCCCAGATTTGCATTCTCATCTGAAACAGACACACAGAGTTCAAGTCAGTGGAAAGTGACAAAGCTTGGAATGGGAGAGGCCATTAAGACCCTCAAAACCTTCTCTTCCCACCCCCTCATCACATCCCACTTTACCGTCTCCCCTCTCAGAGCTTCAACTCAACCCGCTGAAACTCCCGAGGGAAAGTTCTACATAATGTTGAGTGTTGATCATAAAAATAACCTGGACTTTATCCATCGTACATCGCCACTCTTTAACTCTGGTGTTGAACCCCTAATCCTCTGGCCCAGAGGCATGAGTGCAAGTAACTGACTCAAACTCAACGGCAAAACATGACAGTCAATGAGATTGAGACTCAGTAAAAGCGAACAGGAAATCTTCTCACCAACAAATGTGAAGCGTTCGATGTGGGGTCGGACGCAGCAGATCCTCCCTAGACTCTCACTCACCTTCCCCAGGAACCGAACTGCGAGAAGGAAGACAGAAACCATTAGAATTATTCATTGAGGCATTGGAATGTCAGCTTAGCTTAGGGTGGCCCAACTAGCGGCCCACTCGCCACATCAGGCCCAGGGGATAATTTCATTAGGCCCCTGAACCATTTCCGACTTCATTGTTTTACCTCCTGGCTTCGCCTTTTCCTGGTTGGTCTCCGCACTGCCTCAAATGAGTGCAGGGAGTGACAGGTACAGTGACCAGAAGAGAAGCGCAGCAGTGGTATTTTGATTAGGTATTGTTGCAATATTTTGCAATATTGTTTATGCAAATCTGGCATCCAGCCCTCAGCAGCCAAATGATTGGAACACCCTGTTTTAGACTACGGTAGTTCAAGTCTCAATGTGGGCTAAAACCCACAATTTTCTGTTTCAGAAGTGAGAGTACTCCTAACTGAGCCAAGCTGAAACGCATTTGTTCAAGGATTGGGCTTTTCACTTGATAAATTTCATCTTTTACAGAAATAATAATCTCAGTGAAATTTAAACAGGACTTATTATAATAAAGATTCAACAAAACATTAATACTTAATGCTTAATAAACAGTCGTTACTGTAAATTTTACATCATGAAATATGTATAAGCTCATAGAGTTTTGCATTTAATGAAGCCTCTTTGATTTGTTTACTGTTAAGTGAGTAGTAGAATGAGTAAATGAGGTTCATAGCTGAAGTCATGTCTCACCAACAGACCCCTCAACACCTTTTTAAGCATGCACACGACATGGGTTTGTGTCTGTAACTTGCAATAACTTGCTTGCAGTGTAATGCACTGCATTCTCAAAGGTAATAGTAAATATTTATGTGTGTGATCAGGTCAAAACAGCTCTGAAAAGTGCTTCAAACGTTTGAGATGTTGGGATTTGTCATTTCAAACACAGCAGCAAATCTGTGTCAGCAAATAGCAACAAAACAACAACAACTAATTGCAATTGTATTGCGTTTTCATGTTGGGAGGGCATTCCAAGGCACCGGCCAACCAAGTATTTGTTTCCCCTCATCACCATCACCTCCCCCCGGCCCACCACCCTCTTTACCACACAAGACCTACCTGCGGTGGGTTTGTTGTTTGTGATTGAAGTGTTCTGGTAGATGGAACGTCTCCCATTCTGCGGCTGCCCAATCACTGGCGTGGCTGGAGAGTTTACGTTAGACAGAATGCAGCCCGTCACTCTCTGGAGCAAGAAACAAAAGGAAAGGAGCTGAACATCCTCACAGCACACTCAAGTACAGCTATTAATCATGGTCAGAAGTTACTGCTCACAATAGCACATAGTAAGTGGTGTTACTAATTGTGTCTCTCAGCACACACTTGGCATATATTATTACATGGGAGCTGGCCTGCCAGTCACAGAGGTTTGTATGGATCAATAGTGTGGAAATGATTTCACTGGAGGATGGTTCAACTGAGCTAAAAGGATCAGTGCCAGTTATCAGAAAAGCTGGATACAAGATCAGTGTAATTACAGCAGGACAACAAATCTTTTGCTATTGAAGCTCGAATGAATAAACCTTTTTACTGGAATGAAATGTATCTTGGCCTCATCGCTCCCCACCCCCCAATCGTCTTTATAATTGGCGTTAAATAGCCAGGAGAGATTTCGGCTGTACACAACCTTACCTGACACCTTAGTAGAAGCTCCCTTAAGAAGCCAATGCAACTGGTCATTAAAATGGGCAGCTAGGTTTGTTTAGGGAGGAAAGGAGAGAGGCTGCAGTGCCACATTTAGGTGGAATTTAGTTGGAGGTTGGTTGCTGATACTCCACAAATTCAAAGCTGAACAAAATCACTGTTCACTTGTGATCATCAAAATCACTTGTGTAATGTGTCCTCATGTGAGGTCCCATCTGCCTGTTCAGGTGGATGTTAAAGATCCCATGGCACTATTCAACAAGAGAAGGGAATTTCTCCCGGTGTCTTGGCCAACAATCCTGCAGATAAAATGGACTTTCATTTCATGGCCGTTCCCGATGTAATAGGTACTGTATGAAATGTAAGGATTATTATTAATACTGCCTATACTGTAAATGAGTACAGTAAAGTCCCCAATTAATGTCAGAACTCAATGTATAGATGTACGATGCTGGAGCATTAAGTTAAGATCCGATATTTAAAAGAGTCAGAAAGTTTTGTGTAAAGAAGCTACTCAACATGTTACTGTGGTTTTACTATGCCCAGAGTCTTCTGCTGCAAATCACTACTGAAGGCGTTCCGAGGTAGGGAGAAAAGGTATGCCAGAGAGAAGTGACAGCTGCTTCCAATAAAACCATGGGTAGGATCAAAGCTCCTTGTGAACTTACAATGGCCCAGGTTAAACTAACATTGGTGAAAGACCAACTCACTTTACATCACACTGTGAGCACTCGATGGGACACCATTAAACACCCTCTTTAATAGCACTCACTGTATAAATCAGGGGCTACACACCCCCTTCCTCCACTCATGGGATAACTCGTTATTTAACAGCTTGCAAAACAGGCACTGCTTGCATTGACACACAAACCCACCTTATAAAAAACAGCTTGATGCTGTGATGGGAGGACAGTAGGGAGCGTATTTGGGGGTAGATGAGATCAATGGTAAGTAGCCTCAGAAAGGAGTTTCTCCTTATCCACTCTTATCAAAACCACTCAGAATTTTGAACATCTCTATTAATTCTCCCCTTTTAACTATCTCTGCTGTAAGGAGGACAATCCCAGCTTCTCTAGTCTCTCCTTCTTACCTTCATGAGGTCCCTGTGGTGCTCCAGCACACTGCAGGTAGTTTGCCAGGTGTCCTGATAGCATTCCCATGGATCCACCCTGTAGACAGAATACAGTGGTCTTCAGTGGTTACATCAATAATTGCTTAATGATCAGTGCTGACAACAATTTACAATGGGTGAGCTCACCAAGAAGCTATCTGTCCTGTATCACACAACTTTTGTCTGGGATTTTATTACGGATGCCTTTTTCCTAATCAGTAATAATCCTTCACACTTGATACAGCATCTTTCATGTCAGTAGGATGTCTTATAGCACTTTACAGGATTTATTGTAAATTGTAGTGACTTCATTATTATAAGCAAATGCATCAGAAAATCCTTCTCTTTTCAAATTGTGCCATGGAATCTGGCTGCACCATTTGCGTAATACACTCCCGCCTCTTAGTGGTAGATGGTGTTATTGCAACATGGGCTTTGAATGAAATCGTGTTGAACTAAGGAAACGGAGCTATGGCTTGATCCTGGTTTGTTCCTCTCTTCGCAACTCTTGTGGTTCATTGCTACATGCAAATCGGCTGTTGGGTTTGCCTCCAAAATACACAGTGATTACACTTTGGCACAGTAAAATCCTGTGAACTGCTTTGAGAAATCTTGATATCAAATACAAGGATTATTATTAATAATATTTATTATTATCACAAATGGGTTCAGAGCTCCTGAATTGGGAAAAGGGACAAGGAAAGCTGGGGAGAGATCCAATCAGAGAGTCCTGCTGGAAGGTGTGTGTGGATCTGGATTGGATCCTGTATGAACAATGAGAACCGAATGTCAACGGTTCTGAGATGCTATCCTGCTTGAACAGCACTATACATATGTAAATTGTTGTTGTTGTTGGCCATTTGGGTGATGTACTGGATTTCAGTTGACAAGAGGAGAGATGGGGGTATGTGAAGGGAAAAGGGAATAAAATGCTTTCAGGAGAAACGGTAAAAAATAGAGGAACACAATCAATAAATTAGAATTTGACAGGTTAACTGGACAGATTCAGCGACTTGCATTGAGACGAAGGGTACCTTTATAAGACTGATGGGAGCAATTCCAAATAACAAACCCCTGGGTGATTTAGAAATCCAGCCCCTAGCATGTCTGTGTGTGTGTGTGTGTGTGTGTCGTGTGTGTGTGTGTGTGTGTTGTATGTGCTTGTGGGTCTGTAACAAGCACAATTCACAATAAAATAACAAGACCTGAACAATCAGGTCGGGATGCCTTGTACTCCCAAGGCACATTCTGCTTTTGAACAACACAAGACGATGCTCCATCTCAAACACTGAGCACCTGTCCCAGTCTGATGTGTGTTTTTTCTCTTCACAATAGCGGGTGTCAGGAAGTGCTGCTGTATGCTGGACGAGCAAAACGGCTTCAGTCGAACAGCAAAAGTCCTTCATATCGCACTGCTGATCAGGTCACCATGGTTACTGGCTGATATAAGAGCCAATACCGTGGTTGTGAAAGGTAATGGCCATTTTGACATTTACCTAGTTTAATGTGACAGAAAAGATGCACTGAGTTTAAACTGTCTCCAGTGAAATCACAGAGCCGGCTTCAAGGTACAAGTCAACCTCCCTACATTTAAGATAGCGTCCTTCACGTTAGGAAGATATCTCAAACCGCTTCACAGGATATGCTTTAAAGTACAGTGACTGTGTATCTTAATGGCGAACGCAGCAGGCAGTTTGCACACAGCAATGTTCCAAGAACAGCCATGGAGTGAGCGACCATTTGTTGGCCAGGACACTGGGAGAGAAATTTCCTCCTCTTTTCGAATAGCACCACAGAATCTTTAACATCCACCTGAATAGGCAAACTGGATCTCAGTTTAATGTCTCATCCGAAGGAAGGCATCACTGACAATGCCACGCTCCCCCAGCATTGTGATGGAGCGTCAACCTAGACAAAGTGCTCAAGGTCACAAAATGAGCCTTGAACGCACACAACAAGCTTCTGACTCAGAGGAGAAACTGCTACCAACTGAGCCAAGCTGTCACCTGTTATAACTGACGGTCACTTGCCTGAACCATTTCCTCTCAAATCCAACGCAGTTAAGCGCCATTCAGTTCAAAATCCTTATCAAAAGGGGGCCTAAGGATAATGTCACACAGTTGGGCAATGCATCAGTATTTTATGTGCGAAATTTGCAGTGTTGAAATTCTTACTCAAGTAAAAGCTCCACTCATACACTTCAGTACGGAGCACATTTCTGAATAAGGCAATTAATGTGATATAACACATGGAAATCGCGAAGACGCTCATGAGTTGATGGGACACAGTTGCAGTGCAATTGTAAAACAAATTTATTCATGGAGCTGGCTAGTGTGTTCTTGTTGTTCCTCAATCCTTAAGGGCATTGATGTGACAGACCGCAGTGTGGCACTGCAGCATTCAGTTGCTTAAATTCATTCTAGCTCTCTCCCAGCTGGATTCTGCAGTCTGTGTTCGGTGAACAGAATTCTTCTCAAATCCTCCACCCATACCATTTGGACTTTGAGACGGCCTCTTGAAGTGAGAGGTGCTCTATAAATATAAACTGTATTGTGTGTTACCACTAGATCTGATAATAATAATCCTTAAATTTGATAAATAGAGCCTTTCGCATCGCGGGCTTGTTTCGAGGTGGATCTTAAAATTTTACTCTAGGCAAATGTGACAAGTCAATATGCGCACAGCAGTGTATCAAACCAGTGATGTGTCAGCCTAGACTGAGGGTTCAAGGTCCCTGGGGATTGTTGGTTGGAACACTGGGAGAAACTCCCTTCTCTTCCAACAGCTCCATCGGTTTGTACTTGTCCACTTGAGCAGTCAGACAGGATCTCGGTTTAACGTCTCATCTGAAGGACGGCACCACCAAACAATGGAGTACATCCCCAGTGTCATACAGTCAGCCTAGACTGGATGAGTTTAAAGTCCTGACGTGGGGTTTCAACCCAGAACCTTCTGACTCTGAGTGCTACCACTGGGCCAGGCTGACACACACACATGCCCTCTGGATGCCATCACACATGGTCAGGTTTGTCCCTCAAAAGGACAAGAGCAAGAAAATCTAAAGGACGTACATTGACATCAAGGTAACTTTTATTTGGGGGGGGGGGGATGAGTGGGGAGAAGAGAAAGCGTGTCAGCCTGGCTCAGCACTCTCGCCTCTGAGTCAGAAGGTTGTGGGTTCAAATCCCACATCGGGACTTGGAGTCACATGGTCTAAGTTAATGTTCTGTTGCAGCCCTGGGGGTGTGTGGCATTGTCAGAGATGCCGTCCTTTGGATGAGATGTTAAACCAAGGTCTCATCTGCCTGTTCAGGTGGACATTAAAGATCCCATGGCACTGTTTTAAAAGAGAAGAGAGTTTCTCTGGTCTCTGGTTTCATGACTGTTTGTGGGACACTACTGTGCACAATTGTGCTGCCATGATTGCCTACTAGTACTTAATCACTTAATTTCACATTAAATCCCGTGAAGTGCTTGAAGACTTCAATGTAATCCACCTCTAAGATTCAGCAAAGACTTGACAGCATATTTGCCTCCTCCCAAAGAATACAGCTTGATTGTTCTGTTCTGTGCTCCACTACCTCTGCACTGACATAAGCTTCAGCTTGTACTTGATAACTGCTGTGAGACTCAATAGGTCAAGCAGCCTCCTCCCGCATGGCAAGTATTTCCAGCAGCTCTTTTTTGCAATTAAATCTTTATAAAAAGGAGCCACCTTCCTGCTGCTGGAGCTCTCGTTTTGATTGCATTGGCCTCGATGGGGGGACTTGTATTAGCATTTGCAAATGGGTTGTTCTCAAACTGTCTAAGCACTGAGGATCCGGATAAGGCACATGGCCTCCGCAGCCCGAGAGCAACTGCTACTTGGCAACTCTTTCCGATAGCACCACAGTTTCAGACAAGCATTGCTTGTTGACAACCAGCCTTGCAGACGTGCTGGGGTAAGGGGAGTGGAGGGGGAGGAGAGAGGCGGACGACTGGGCCTTTGAGCTCTGCGGCAAAAGCTCTGGAATCAGCAGATTTCAAAGACTGAGGTGAAACCTTTCTGTCTGAAGGTTAGCAGAGCCAGCCACAGAATTTCTCTGCACAGAAGCAAACCATTACAATACGCTCATCTGTCAAATACACAGTCACAACATTTATTATAATCCTTGCACCTGATACAGCACTTTTCATGTCGGGAGGACATCTCAAAGAGATATTTATAATAATTTTTATAATAATAATCCCTCCGAAAGAAAAACAATAATAAATTGGTCATTTTCAATCCACAACTGTTTGTGGGACACTGCTGTGTGCGATTGGCTGCCGCGTTTCGCCCACAAATATACGGTCAATTCACTTTACAGTATATTCTGTGAAGCTCTTTGATACGTCTCGAAGATGTGAAAAGCGCTATATCAAATGCAAGGATTATTATTATTATTGTAAATGTATTGACTGTGTATTTGTAGGCGAGCGCAGCAGTTAATTTGCACACTGCAACGTCCCACAAACAGCCATGAAGTAAATGATCAATTTTCACAGTGAAGTCGTGTAAAGCGCTTTGAGATGTCTCTCGACCCAAGAGATGCTGTATTATCATATTATTATTATTATCACTATTATCACCCTGAAAGCAGCAAAGCTTTTTTAAAAAAAAATTACAAGCCGATGGAAGTATGGTTTAACAAGGTCAGAGGCTACTTAAGAGAAAAAAACAAGGAAAATAAGAAAAAAAAACCTGCTGCACAGAACAATTTGTCTTCATTGGTCATCGGGCAACCAGGAATTTGTCAAGCAAAATTTGGACTAGAAAAATTGTACAGGGTACAGTTTAACACCAGTAGAATCAGGCGATGGGTCAAATGTAAGGATCATATTGAACGCGAAAAAGATTATTATTATTTTTAATTCTGCCCTGAAGTCTCCGACTGCCATCTCAGGAGGACACTTGTTTTGTTCTTTTAACCAGGGGATAATTAATGACTGGAACATGGTTGCCAGGAAAATTGTTTGAGGCCAAGATGCTGTGACTCATTTAAAAAGCAACTTGATCCAGCGATGGGAAGACAGCAGGGGTGGGTTTTCTGGATGGGAATTAAGATGGGATTGGAACAAGAGGACACAAGTTCAGGGTTACAAAAGTTAATTTCAGGATAGACACCAGGAAGTATTCATTTACCCAGGATGTGGAGTCCTGTAGCTCAGTGGTTAGAGCACTCGCTTTGCAAGTGAGAGACCTGAGTTCAATTCCAGGCAGAGGGCGAAACCTTGGGCAAGTTTCCTTACTCCACACAGAGCCTAATAATAATCCATCCAAAACCAAAAACAATAATAAATTGGTCATTTTCAATCTATGACTGTTTGTGGGACATTGCTGTGCGCAATTGGCTGCCGCGTTCGCCCACAAATATACAGTCAATTCACTTTACAGTGTGTTCTGTGAAGCGCTTTGGGACGTCCTCCCGACGTGAAAAGCGCTATATCAAATGCAAGGATTATTATTATTATTATTATTAAGTAATTAATGACTGGAACAGGGTTGCCTTTAAGGCTGGTTGAGGCCAAGACATTGGACTATTTAGAACCAGCTCAATGCTGTTGGTGTTCTGGAGAGATGAGATTAGATGTTGCCCAAGTGCCTCCCTCATCCAAACCAATCTGTCTTGTTCAGGCACCGCTCCACCTTTTTTCCATCACTTCCTAACATTCCCATCAAAACATTTATAACCCTTTTGTGTGAAAATTGCAGCGGGAAACCTACGGGCAATGTGTGTAAGTGTGTGTGTGTGCGGGGGTGGACATAGTAGAAACATATAAACAGAGTCAGGTGGAGAAAGATAAAGGGCCCGTTTACCTGATCCAGTCAGAGGATTGCACTGCCAACTGACACATGGTGAGGCGATGCCGGCTGGAGACAAGACCCTGCAGTTAATGAGAAGGCAAGAGGACAGAGTAAGCACACAGAGCTTATGGAATACTAATGGAGATACATCCTGTTGTGAGTACATTTGTAACAGTCACAGAATTCCAGATTGTGCTTGTAAACAGAATTAGCACAGCCCCCGCCTTCAAGTGGTTGTTGTTGTTGGTGTTGTTCAAGGTGCAGTCATTCAAACACCAGGTATGGAAGGGTTTATTTTGTTTAGAAAAATATTCCATTGAACTCGAATTCATTAAATCTTAAATCAATTTTTTTTAAAAAAAACTCATGAACCGCAGAGTGAGATTTGGCTCAACACCAGATTCTCAGCGACGTGGAGTAATGAGCACAACATTCCCCCAACGCCGGTTACACACCCAGAGATAGTTACACAGCCCAGCTCTGGTTACAGAATAAGCCGCCTCCGCTCGGCTGACTCTGGCCTCCTGCAGCACCTTGTGATGTCCTCCTGACATGAAGCGATTTACAAATGTAATTTTGTTGTTGTTGTTGTTGTTTCTGCATGTCTGTCGTCCCCTCCCTCCGCTCCACCATCGGCAGCCGAGCTTTCAGCCACTGTGCCCCGAAACTCTGGAACTCTCTCCTTCAATCCCTCCGCTTTGTCCCCTCCTTCCCCATATTCAGATCACACCTCAAGACCTTCCGGCTCGACCGTGCCTACGGTCATCTACTCCCTTTCCCCGGCTCAGTGTCAGGCTCAGCCACTGTTAAGCCCTCCCGGATGCTACCCTCCATGAAAGGTGCTATATAAGTGCAGGTTGTTGTTTTTGTAGGTCATGCCTAAGGCATGGTCCTAATGCTGCTACACTTGCTGCTCCTTAGTACATCAATGCTGGCACTGAAACTAGTTGTAACCACATGCTTCGAAAGTGTGTGCAGTTTGAGTGCTTGCCCCCCTCCCTCTCTCTGGCACTTAAGTCAGCTGCACTCTCACAATTCAGCTACCGGAAAAGAAAACAAGCTGTGCCACCATTCACAGCTTTCCTGCTTTGTTTGCTGTAAAACAAACACAGGAGTTGGAGCTGCCTTTCTCAGGCTTCTTTCTTGGATATCAAGTCATAGAGGCCATGTTTCCGTTGCCCTTGGGGTCTCCCAACAAGACAATACAATCATAGGAATTTACAGACAGAGGCCATCAAGTCTGTACTGGCAAGGTGTTCATTCAAACCTCTAATTGTGAAATAATGAATAAGAGTCCTTACATTTGGTATTACACTCGGTGGACATGTCAATGCGTTTCACAGGATTCACTGTAAAGTGTAGTGACTGTGTAGTTCATGGGCGAATAAGGGGGTGTTTACAACATACTGGAGCAACACAACAACAGCTTGCATTGCTACAGCACCATTCCCGCAGGGTAGCTTTAGGAGGCCTCCTGGGAAGGCTATGACTGGCCGGTTTCCTGTGCAGAGGACCTGCAGGTACCCGCGGTGCACCAGCACTGCACAAGCGGAAAGACTCGTTAAAGATGTAGCTCCCACCCCTATTCCAGAACAACTGATCAATGCTCAAAGGAGGTCCGAACACACAAACATCGCACCAAAATCAGCTTTGCCCTTCCTTACCTGCTTCCCGTAGGAATCATGGACTGGTGAGATTATTCCGCCGATCACAATGTACCGTCCCGTCTTGTGCAGATAATCACGTGCCCTCTCTGCGAACATAGAGAAAGGTAAGATTGACTCACTACTGGACGATCAGAGCACGAGACTTGTCAAACCCATGTTGCTGTGAACAGCAGCATCTGCTAATCACTGCCCAACCAACTCCCAATCCAGCAAACCTGATCCTGGCAACAACAGACCTGCCAGTGGGGACAGACTAGGGCTTCCTCCATGACAGTTGGGAGTCAGAAAGCTGCAGGTTCAAGCCTCCACAGTGGGACTTTGAACTCGCAAGTCTAGGATTACGCTACTAAATTGGACGCACAGGCAGATGCAAGGGATTTATGCGTAAGTGTTCAGTAAAAGCCTTTGAATGGATGATTTCTTATATATTACAATAACAAAACAGATTGCATTCATATAGCACTTTCAAATCAGGAGGACAACCTAAGGCATTGGACAATCAAGAGTTTGCAAGGGGGTGGAATCAAGAGGGGTGGTGAGGGGGGGAAGAGAGGATGACTGAAGGCACTGTCAAAGAGAAAGGTCTTGAGACGGTCTTGAGCTTTTAAATTAAAGCTGAGTTTCCTAATGTTTTTGTTTAGGTTATTTCTTTTAACCAAATTAAGACGAGCACCAATACCACTCGTGGTACATACTGTGCCAGCTCAATACAAAATGAACAGATTCTTTGCTAATTTAACCCTTTAGCGGTACATCAGTGAATGCATGTGTATAGTACTCTCGCCTCTGAGTCAGAAGATGGTGGGTTCAAGTCACGCATCAGGACTTTGAGCTCATAGTCTAGGCTGAAACTCCAGGGCAGTGCTGGTGGAGCGTTGCATTGTTGGATGTGCCGTCCTTCGGATGAGACGTTAAACCGAGGCCCTATCTGTCTGCTCATGTGGACTACTCAAAAAAAAAAAGGTTGTTTCTTCTGGTGCCCTGGCCAGCAATCCTGCAGACAAAACTGCTCATTCACTTTGTGGCTGTTTGTAGAACATTGCTCAGGAGGCCTGATCCCTTATTGAAACAACAAGAATTTCAAAAGCAAAAAAGAAGAAATAATTTTTGGTTGCGAGGGGGAGGGGGACGAAGGATGGAAAGACACATTGAGAGGAGTGTGTGTGCGCATGTATGTGTGGGGTGGGGGGGGGCGGTGAAGTAATTTGCAGTAGGAAATGGCAATTAGATGCAGGTCATTAACTGGTGCTGATGTACAGGTAGACTAATCCAATAGGGATGCTTGTTATTGCTTAGACAAAGTATGGTACATTTATTTGCATTAGACATGTTGCACTGTATTGACAATGATAACCCTCTGCACACGATTGCCTTAAGCTCCACGGCTCTCTGTTGTAGCCTCTGCTAAACCCTCCCCACTCCCCCCAAGGCAATCGTTGGGTAGGTCATACAGAATTAATATTCCGCTTGTCATTGGAGCACAGAGACAAAAGTCGACAGCGAAGGGGAACACTCACAGCAGATACAGCAGCAGCAGGAACAATAGAGCAAGAGAGAGAGAGAGAGAGAAAAAAGAGAGGTATTGATTTTTTGACAGGATGAGATTTGTCCACTGCTAGACTGGATTAGGTTACTGTGCAGGGTCAGAGACTATCTCCTGGGAGTTGAGAGAATAGCTGCGAAAAGCAGGTGATGTTCTTGCACCCTGTTGAATCACTCTACCGTCACAACTGGTCAAAAATGCACGCTCACTTTCACAGCCAGCTAAACAGTCCGACGTCCTCTCTGCCTGCGAGATGGAGTAAAATATCAGGAGTGAGTGAACCCACTCTGGTTCAGTGGCTTGGTGTGATCTAACGCAAACTGACCTCCACATCAAACCTCATCCAGTGACTGGCCAGTCAATGCATTTGATTCACTTCACTTCCATCAAGACTAGATATGTCCCGTAGCTAAACCTAATCCAATGCACACAATCGGCATTAAGGTCCCAAATGCAACCTCCTGCAGCCTATACTGTTTGATTCAAGCGTCCACTGCTCTCAGTGAGAGCTCCGTTGACGATGGTTCCTGCTCCAGGCTTTCTTTGATAATTGCATCCTTCAGCCTTACTTCTCCTCTCTTCTGCTCTTCATTTCTTCTTCTCTCCTTTTTTCTTCACTCCTCTCCTCTTTTCTTCTCTTCTCTTTCTCCCGTTTTCTTCCCTCCTCTTCTCTTCTTTTCTCTACCCTTCTCTCCTCTCTTCCTCTCCCAGGTTCATTTAGCCATGGTTACCAGTGCTGTTACCAGTTTCCACCAAATCCACCATACTTCACAAAAAGAGATATTAACTGGCAGTCTTCTCCTATTTTTGTCCCTCTTCCAACTCCCTTCATTAGCCTAAGACCTACTGTACACAAAGACACTATTCACATCTAATCACCAGTTGGAAGCTATTCAATCTATTGCATTATCATCACAATTATATTCTTTGCCCATTAGTTAAGTGATCCATAGTAACATTTTTAACATGTTTCATTTTCTCCCATTCTAACTGCTTCTTCACAAAGTGGGCACATTTCAAGGGGAAGTTTTCTCCCATCCAAGCTGTTTATATTGGACATCCTCAGTAAACAGCAGAATAAGACTGAATCTTGGCAACTCCAGGGTCGAGGCCTTAAACTGAGGTTCTGTCCACCGGTTCGGAGGGAATTAGAGATCCCTTGGTGCTATTGGAAAAGGGAAGTGAGTTTCTCCGGTGTCCTGGCCAGTGATCCCCCGGATAAAAAAATGTTCATTCACTTCATGGCTATTTGTAGGACATTGCTGTGCTCAAATTACCTGTCACATTCCCCCATAAAGTACACAGTCACAACACTTTACACTGAATCCTATGAAGCACTTTGACATGTTCTTCCAACACGAAAGGCAATATATCAAATGGAAGGATTATTACATTATTATTAATATAAATAAAGCCAAAATAAATGGATAAAGCCAAAATAAATGGAATAAAGCCACTTGTATCCTCATACTCAAGATGGGCTTGTTAACAGACACAAGAACAGAAATATTAAAGGAATTTATGGGAAACTGAAAAGTCCAGCTTTCTGTTGGTCCCTGAAGTCTCACTGATGGGTCGGTTATGCATGGAAGTTTCTCCCAGTGTCCTGGCCAACAATCCGACAGATACACTCACTTCATGGCTGTTTATCGGCTGTTGCAGTGCACAACTTGGTTGCAACTTTCGCCTACAAAATACACAATCAATGCACTCTAGAGCAAATCCTGTGAAACACTTTGAGACGTTTGATGAGGCGATAAGGCGCTGTGTCGAATGCCAGGATTTTTACAGTAGGTTTGTTCAGTGCATACAGATGTCTCATCATTACACTGAATATCAATACACTGAACATCTCTGTCTCCTCCGTGTGACCCTTCCGTTAAAAAAAAACTCTCACTTCACTCAATTCTTACAGCTTCATGTTAAATTTATTTGGTTTAGCCCATGGGCAAAAGATTACCTTTTAACTGATTTGGCCTCCTACCATTTGCTGCTCTAACCTTAGGGATTTCAACATCAAACTCACTTCCTTACTTAACCCATCATTCAGGCAATCTCCTTAGGATTTTGAAGCTCTATCTCAAGGTTAGACCCTCGAGACAAGTCTGCCTGTTAACACAGAAGCCGAACAACTACTTGCACTTTTATGTAGGACGAATGACTCAAAGCGCTTTGCAAAGACGGTGGGTTTCCTTGAGCAGGTAGGAAAGGAGCAAAAATTTAAAGGTGTCTTTAAATGTGAAGGGCTCTATTTAGATCCAAGTTGTTGTAATAAATAATAATAATCCTTGCATTTGATATAGTGCTTTTCGCATCTTCTAGACGTCTCAAAGTGCTTCACAGAGTATACTGTAAAGTGAATTGCCTGTATATCTGTGGGTGAAAAGCAGCAGCCAATTGCGCACAGCAGGGTCCTGCAAAGTCATGGATTGAAGTGACCAATTCATTATTGATTGCTTATTTTTCTTGAGGGATTATTATCAGGCGTGTGGAATAAGGAAACCTGCCCAAGGTTTCGCTCTGCCAAGATTCAAACCCAGGTCTCTTGCTTGCGAGGCGAGTGCTCTAACCACTGAGCTACACGACTCAATTTATAATTTCCAGATCAGAACCGCAATAAAAATATTTAAATAAAACTGGTCATTTACTTCATGGCTGTCCTACATGTTGTTGTTGTATTCTGCAAAGTGGAGAGACTGTGTTTGTGGACGAATTGCATTTGATATAGTGCTTTTCGCATCTTCTAGACGTCTCAAAGTGCTTCACAGAGTATACTGTAAAGTGAATTGCCTGTATATCTGTGGGTGAAAAGCAGCAGCCAATTGCGCACAGCAGGGTCCTGCAAAGTCATGGATTGAAGTGACCAATTCATTATTGATTGCTTATTTTTCTTGAGGGATTATTATCAGGCGTGTGGAATAAGGAAACCTGCCCAAGGTTTCGCTCTGCCAAGATTCAAACCCAGGTCTCTTGCTTGCGAGGCGAGTGCTCTAACCACTGAGCTACACGACTCAATTTATAATTTCCAGATCAGAACCGCAATAAAAATATTTAAATAAAACTGGTCATTTACTTCATGGCTGTCCTACATGTTGTTGTTGTATTCTGCAAAGTGGAGAGACTGTGTTTGTGGACGAATGCGTTCTCTCACTTCGTAATATACACCAACAACTGTAGTGTCCCACATACAGCCATGAAGTAAATGACCAGTTTTATTTAAATATTTTCATTGTGGTTCTGATCTGGAAATTACAAATTATTCAAGTAAACATTGTAATAGTTGAGGCTTTCAAGAAGCAATTATTTCACCGAAAAGAACATTTTTTGCAAACAAATAAAATCAATAATTCAAATAGGCGATTCAGGCCACAGGTATTTAAAGTATTATTAAAGATTTGTTACTTGATGTAAAGTGAAGGTTTAGCACATCCTTAGCTTTCCTGTTCTCTTATTATTACGATTACACATTTTAGTTTTTGATTATTTCGAGCACAGATATTATGCATTGATGGGCATGAGTGTTGCTGATTTCTAAGCAATTGC